TTATTCTACAAATTAGGCACAGTAAGAGGACCTCCAGATGGCCAGGGTCACTGTTCTTGTGCTTCGGTGCCACTGCGAAGTAAAAGAAGGGTGTCTTGAGCACAAGCCCTGTGATCCCGAGATGGTGGAGCCCATAACCTAGATGCTACTAAGTGGCTAACGGGTGGGACACGCAGGACAAAGGTCAGGACGGGATTTCATCACAGTGCTCAGACCAGTGCTGTGATGAAATCCCGTCCTGACCTTTGTTTATTTCTGGATTTTCCCATTTATTATTTTCGGACACGGTTGACGGCGGGTAACTGAAACCGCAGATGAGCGAAGCGGCTTTGGTGGGTGGAGCAGCCCTGGAGGCCGTGTCATCGCCAGCCTCTCCCAGCCTGGCGGTGCCCTCGCTCGAGTGCCACGTGAGAAGTGGGCCCCTTCCTGCCCACTGGAGTCGGAGCCCTGTTTTCCATGGAGACGCTTGTCTCCCTTGGCTGCCCTTGCCACCCCACCTGAAGAACAGACCCCCTCCCTGCACTCTTCTGGGGGGAGCAGGGGAGGGCAGAGCCTGGAGGGCGGGGGCGATAACGGAAGGCCCGGAAGGTCTTTCACTTCTGTCCGTGCGCATGCTCGCTTAGCGCTAAGTGTTCAACTCATTCCTGAATCGCTTATCAAGACCAAACCAGTGTGGAAACGTTTAAAGGGCATGGCATTTTGAAAGAATTCCCAGTTGAGAATATTTTCCTGCATTTTATTTACCCGCTAGGCTGGTAATGATCACTCGTAGGGTACCACAATACACCTTCCATTTGTAGGGAGTGGTGGCTCATCACCAAAACCAGAGGGCAGGCAGAACTCTGAAATAACCATGATTTCATAAGTTTCATTAAAAGATAGTCTTAGATTTGACTTTAAATTCACCGTGTACAACAGTGACAAAGCTGTGACGACGTTGTAATAGTTAACATTTGTAGTCGAGTCCAGGACCTGCAGGCAGGGGTGAGGTTGGGACAGAGGAGCACGGGTTACAGCCTCGCAGCTTGTGTCCCCCGGCCTCAGCCCTCAGTGACGCTCTCCTCTGTGGCACCTCCCCCAGCTCTCTCCCTAGCCGTCCCCCCCAGCTGAGTATCTGGACGCCAGCCAGTTCTCATCTGCTCGTCCTGAGCGGCAGTCACTTCCCTTCACAGCCCGGGGATTGTTCCAGAATGTAGGCTACTTGGGGTCGCGTCCTGCCCACAGTGTCTCGCACGCAGTGGGTCCTTAACTGAGGGAGCAGCGTGGGGGTCTCCGCGCGCGTGGGCAGCGGGTGCTGGGGAGTGTCCAGTGAAGGCCAGCCGCTTGCTGGGGTTTGGTCATTTAAAGGCATTTTAGTTAACTCGAGATGGTTTACATGGCTAGATTCAGACTCCGAGAAAAAGCCAACGTCCGCTTCGTTCCGTCTACCTCCGTCAGCTGCTCGCTGTAATCTCGCAGTGTAGCGTGTCTGTGCTCCGCGACCCTCCCCCCCACCCCACCGCCCACCATGAGCAGATGGCTGCGCTGAGCCCTCCGTGCTGCGCCGGCCTTCGGCTGCTGCTCTCAGGTTTGCAGAGCACGTGTGCGTACCCGCTCCTTGGGTTCTCGGTGTCTGGCTTTGATGCAGGACCAGCCTGGGAATCCAGATGCCCTAGCCTGACCTTGTCTTTCCAGGGCCCGGCTCGGGGATGTGCATGTGTCTCTTCACAGGGTGCCAGGGGCTTGGCCTTGCGTCTGGCCCCTAGGCCCCGGGTGGGTGGACGGAGCAGACGGGCAGTGAGCCTGGCTTGTGTGTTTCTTCCTGTCTCTTCCCCGCTCACAGCTCCAGAGCTGTCACTCTTGGCGAGAAAGGCATCCTAACCAGCCCGTATCCTCCAGCTGACAAGGTCTCTCCTTAATGCTTAACCCCTCCTTCCTCCTGTTTTCTTCTGAAAGCTTTTCGTTTGAGTCTCTTAGGTTCCCCCAGAACTGCCAGGCTCGGGGCAGAGTGGACCACAAGAGAGCCAGGGCGAGGGGCGTGCGGACACACTTCTGAATGTTGGGCTTCGGGACCAGCTCTGCTCCACCCGCCTTCTGTTCCTCGTTCTCTTTCCTCGTCAACATCAGCGTGATCTTCACTTAGTTCAGAAATAGTTACTGAGTGTCAGGTACACTGCTGGACGCTGGGGATCCGGCAGTGAACAGAAGAGACCCCTCCCACCCATGTCATCATGGAGCTCATGTTCCCGTCGCGTGGGGTGAGCTGAGTCTGGAGTCAGGTGCACGGTGGCCAAGGCAGCCAGGGCCCAGAGGGGCCCGGGGGCGCGGGAGTCCCTGGTCCCCGCTGCCGGCCCCGTCCTCAGGGACGCGGGAGTCCCTGGTCCCCGCTGCCGGCCCCTTCCTCAGGGGCGCGGGAGTCCCTGGTCCCCGCTGCCGGCCCCGTCCTCAGGGACGCGGGAGTCCCTGGTCCCCGCTGCCGGCCCCTTCCTCAGGGATGCGGGAGTCCCTGGTCCCCGCTGCCGGCTCCTTCCTCAGGGGAGGGGAGGCCAGCGGTGGAGAGGGGGCAGTGGTCCAGCAGCCTGGATGGCCGAGCAGGCAGCTGGGGCGCGGGCCAGTGGGGAGTGGGTGCGCGGGGGGGTGGAGGACTGCCGGCCTGGCTGGCAGAGCCTCCCCCATGGAGGTCACCCCCGGGGGCCCTCGTCCTGACACGTCGTTTGTGAGAGTGGGAACAGGCCCATCTTTTCGGTTTGCTCAGAGTAAGGAAACGTGTCGTGGCTGTGTGATTTGGGGTGGGCTTTTTACTTTTTGCTCTTTTTGGGAAAATGACTAAACTCAGCTTCCTGTCCCCCTGTCTTCAGGTCCTGCTGGCTTCCCAGCTTGGATCCCTTGACTTTCGGTCCCTGCTGGGAGTGTGTAGGCGGGAGGCCCTTCTGGGACGTGCTGTGCTTTCGTAAATAGCCACGAGGGTGACTGAACCCCAGTGGAGGTGCTCCTGGCCTCCTGGGGAGGGGGCGCTGGGCTTTGAGAGTGGGTGGCCCCTGAGCTCCGCTGCCCTCTGCCCTGCTGGGGCCACACCGGCTGCTGCCCGAGGCTGCTCGTCCCCATGGGGTCCAGGGGGTGGCTGCTCCCTGGCGACCGGGTGGCAGAGCTGCAGAACTGGGCAGGGCTATGTCTGTCTTTCTGACCATGAATGATCTGGTGGTGGGTAAGTTCTGGGGAAGAGAAAATGAATAATAGAGGGAACGTCAATTTTCTCCAACTTTTTAAAACCTCTCGTGAACTCATTAGTACAAACAGTTAATACAGGACAGAGTGGTGTTTTACAGACATTGTTGTCAGGTCAGCTCTTTGGGGACCTAGAAGCCGGTTCTCACCTGGAAGGAGGAAGCCAAGGAGATGAGCGTGGCCATCTACGTGGGCTGTGTCTGTGGGGACACGTGACCACACCTGGTGGCGTATGCGCAAGTTTGTCCTCTCACAGTCTGGAGGTCATGAGTCCAGCACGGGCCTTGCTGGGGTCACAGGGCTGCTTCCCTCTGGAGAATCCTGGGGAGACAGAGGTGCTGCATTCCTTGGCTGGTGGCCCCTGCTCCATCTTCCAAATCAGCGTGGTGTCCGCACTTTGTTACGTTGGAAGATTCTCTGCTTTCTGAGCCGCCTGTGTGACATGGGGCCACCAGATGCTTCAGGACGCCATTCCCACCTTGATCACCGGCTCAGTCCCATCTGTAAAGTGCCCTTGCTGTCAGGGCACACGGCCTGGGGCCCGGGATTGGGACATACCCGTCTCTGGGCCGTCACTCTGCCCAGCAGAGCTGGCCGCTACGAGATGTGAAACTGTGTTTGCAGATGGCTTCCGAAGACACAAAAGGAAAACCAGTTAGGACTTTCTTCTGTCTTTTATTCTGAAAATCGAATTTTCCTGTTTTTTTCCACTGATGGATTCGTTATTAAAGAAATAGAACTTTAGCTCATCAAAAACTAGAATCACGTTTGAAACTGCAGACTGTATTTTCAGCATCCTCGGCTCTGACCCCGTGTGGGAGGCTGTGGGCTGGTCAGGAAGCGTGACTGTGGCTGCCCCGCCCTGGGCAGCTGATGAGCGCCCCCAGGAGGTGGTCCAGTGGGTGTGTAATTTGAGGGGGTGGGAGTGCAGCCCCAAGTCAAAAGCCCCACAGCTCATGGCAGCTCACTCCCATGAACGCAGAGCCTCGGAGGCCCCCGCCCACTCGCCATCCTCCCTGTGGGGCGTCAAGGCACCAGTCCGCCTGCCTGCCTATTGCAGGGTGCGGTGGGCCCGGTGTGGGTGCTCGTGAGTGATGGCGTCACCCAGAGCCCGTCATGGGGGCCTCATCTGTCCCTCCCTCCAGGCACAGTCCAAGTGGGATTCCTGGTGCGCGGGACGGGGGTCTGTGATCCATGATTTGTCTCCTTGGAGGCTAGTCGGATCCTCCCCTGGGATCTGGCTTGTGTCTCCTCTCCACACACAGAGCCATTCTCGACTCCCTCTGGAGGCTGGGGCCTTGTGACTCACATGCACATTTCTGCTTGTTTCTCAGACTCGATCAGTGGCCCACTGTCTGGGGGCTGCTTCTCTCCGGAGTGAATGTATCTTGCTTGCCCCAGGGTCGAGGCCCTGCCGCCGTCTGCCTGTCCTCCTGGCTGCCCTCAGGCTCCCCTTTCCATGAACCTGAGAAAGCGGTGACTCTGGGAAGGTCTCCAGGTGCTTTAGCTCCTGTTCCATCTCAGACCCGCCCTTGGCCACATCCCTGCGTTCAGTTCGCTCTTTGGGTATTTTTTCCTGTAAGGCCTAAAAGCCCCTCTCTGCGTCCAGCACTTGGATGTTTGAGGGAGGTGACTTGCAGTTGCAGTGGAGCAGCCTGGTCCTGCCGTGCACGTCCACACGGCGCACCCGCACGCCACACCCTTGTCAGCAGGTGCCCTGCCCCGCGGTCCAGGTAGCACGGGGCAGACTCCCCCGGCGCCGTCTATGCTGACGTGGTTCTGCTCTGTGTCTGCAGGTGCTGCAGGGGGCCCAGCTGATAGCCGTGGCTTCTTCGGACCCTGCTGCCACGGGGGTGGATGGCTCGCCGCTCCAGGGCAGCGACATCCAGGTCCAGTACGTGCAGCTGGCGCCGGTGACCGACCACACCGCTGCAGCCCAGGTGGGTCCTCCCTTTGGGAAGTGGACAGGGCCTGGGCCTCCTGCAGGTAGTGAGCACACTTGGACCTGCTCCCGCGAGCAAGGTAAGTGATCCATGAGAGGAGCATGGTGTGGACGTAGGCGCTCGCTTGGGACTCCGTGTCTTGTAAGTGCCTGAAAGTGTAAAGGTGAGAGGTTACTTCTTGGCCCAGACACCAGCCTTAAACAGTTTCTTGGGATAACTCTTGACTCGTGCAAATGTTTACCTATAAATTTAGAGCCAGAGTAAGTGTAGCTGAGGCCGCCTTCTTCCTGGGCCGGGGCAGGGCCGCCCAGGGTCTGCGCGCCTGCCAGCCACGGCCAGTCTGTTTGCAACCCTTGCCTGTGGCCTCTGCCCTTTTCCCCGTGGCAGCCTCTGGTGGGCCGAGCTGTGCCGCACTGGGCTGCGGTCCTCCTCCTGCGCTGCTCACGGTTGCGCTCTGCTGGGAGCCCCAGAAGAGCAGCGCTCGGGCTCCATCTGGACAGTTTCTGAGCCGTCACGTCCGCTTGGTTGGGTGACCATTGTGGCCTCCCCCGGGTATGGGGGAGCCAGGCGTGGGCCCCCGTGCTCGTGCCCGAGCGCTGTTTGGGGGCAGTGTGATCAAGGTCTGTCAGGGCGCGGTCTGGAGAGGGTGCCCTTGGAGCAGCTCAGGCTGCTGGTGCCAGGGTGACACGGGTGCCCTCAAACCTCGGGCTGTGGGCTTGACTCACTGACTCGCTGCTGAGCACCTCTGGGCAGGGGTGCTCTCATCGCTGTGACCTCAGCCTGTTGGCCCCTCCCAGCCTCCTTCCTGGACCGCCTCATCTGCCCAGCACTGATGAGCTGCGCGTATCCTGCCGTCAGCCTTGATGCTTAGAATTAAAGCCCTGAGTTTCCACGCAGTCCCCCTCCCCTCCTGGCCTCCGCTGGTCACCGTCCTAGGTGTCGTGTCCTGTTCCCACTGGTAGTTGCTGAGGAACGCGGCTCAGCGGGGCCAGGCAGGCGGCCCAAGGTGGCACTGGTGACCAGGTGGCTGGCTGGGTGATCAGCGGTCCTGTGGGGACTTAACCCTGGTTCACAACAAGTCCCCACCTGGCCCAGAGTTCTGGAACGTGTGTCCTGGAGAAGGCGCAGCCCCCTCCTCTCCCCAGACCTGTCCACTGTGCCACGTGGGCAGCAGCCACAGCCTGGACACTTGTGCTTTTGTGCAGCAGTGATCAGAGAGGCATGTGCCATGCTGAAGATTGACCGAGAGGGCGTGAGGCCGACAGAGAGCCCACAGAACTTGGAGTGGTGGGGGGGGGGGTGGTGGACGAGCTTATTCATGTGGTGCAAGGGACATTTGTCCTAAAGAAGGACCCCGGGGCTCCGTCCGAGCTGGGCGGGTCTGACACCCATGTCATTGCTGCTTCACACGCACGGGGGTACCCAAGAGTGTGTGCCTTGAATCTGGGGTGCGTGTCATGTGGCGGGTCTTCCTGGGCCAGGTCTGTGGTCTTTGTGCGGATGTCACTGTCGAGGGGAGCCACGTCCACTGAGCTCCCAGCGCCTGACTTCCCACCAGTGGGACCACGTAGCACACAGAGCAGTAGATCAGAGGGGGACATGTGCACTTTCTGGGGTGTCTTCCCCGCGGAAGGGCTCGGTCCCTGGGGCCCAGCCCCCTCCCTGGGCCCCCGCCCGCCTCATGCACAGGGAGGGGTCTCCCAATGGTCTCTTTATTAGCAGGAGGTCTCCCGCCCTCCTGTGGGTTTCCTTTCAGAGTTCGCTGCTCGGAACAGGGTCATACTCCTCATCTGGTGCTTGGGGAAGGACGGGTCTGGCTCCCGAGGTCCCCAAGCCCCCCGAGCCCCAGAGGCTGCGTGAGGGGTGGGCCCGTTCCCCGGAGCAGCCATGGGCAGGGGAGAGGGCGCCCCGTCTGTGCTGGCGCCGCTGCGCTGTGCTGCGCTGCTGCCTGGGGCCCAGGTCTCCTGCTGTGTTTTGAGGACGAGGAGGGAGGGCAGGGCTCCCCACCAGAGTGTGGGCCTCCCGAGCGCCCAGCCCAGCTCGTCTTGTGGCCTCGGGACGGCACGGAGGAGGCCTGTGCTGAGTCCTCAGATGGGTGGGGAACCGACCCCACCCCCCCACCCCTGCTACGAAAATGCTGTGTTGCCTCCCCCTTGAGCTGCAGTCGTAGGCGCAGCGCTGGCCCCGCCTGGGACTCTGCCTCCGCCGTGTGGCTTTCTCCACCTCCTCCTCCGTGCACCACCGCCCCCCCCACCCCCGGACCCCTCCAGCTACAGGTCCTCAGGGGAGCCGCGGAGCCCACCTCTGAGAGTCTGGTGTTGCCTTTGACCAGCGGCTTAGGGGAGTCTGAAAAACCCCCCAAGTGATCTCCATCTGGGAGCCCATGCTTGGTGGCCGAGATGGATGGTCAGTGACTTATTCCAAGACTGTGTTTTTTTCCTTTAAACTACCTTAAAACTGCTAATATGCTGACCACTTGGAGTGCACGGCCAATGGGAAGTAGGGGTGGGAATGGGAATGCAGCGCTGGTGGCGGGAGCTGAGGGGCACATGTGGGAGGCGGCGGGTAGGTGGGGGGGGGGCGGAGCAGGGGCCAAGACAGGGCCCCACAGAGACGGACCGTGGCCCTGGATCTGTCACAGCTGCCGGGAGCATCCTCTCCCAGAGCAGAGGCGACACTCGGGCCCCCAGCCTCACCCTCCAGCTCGGGTGTGTGTTTACTGTGTGCCTGAAAACCCGCTGGTGTCCGTGACCAGGGAGTGGCCCGGGTGCACACGCTGGGCCCTTTGATAGAAAGCCCCCTCTCCCCTCTTGCAGGCGGCCGACGCCCTGCAGCCCACCCTGCAGTCCGAGATGCAGCTGGAGCATGGGGCCATCCAGATCCAGTGAGGGGACGGCCGCCGACCAGACAGGGCCCGAGCCAGAGCCACCGCTCAGCGCTGGTTCCGGTCACACGCACCCGTCCCTCGGCTTCGCATGGGAGGGGGCCCGCACACATTCTGCTCAAGTGCATCCGAGTGCCTCATCCTCGGGGAGAGCGCCCCGCTAAATAAAGACGACGGTAGCCCCTGCCGCCCCCGCCCGAAGACCCTGTTTCTTTTGATCACCCCGCCGTGTCCGGGGAAGGAGCGGGAAGCACAGCGCGGTCGCGTTAAGTACACGCGGGAAATCAAGAACTACGATATTTTTCTCTGTTCAAACAGCTTTTTTAATTTGCTATGGTGTTTATAACAAAAAACAAAATTGAAAAAAAAGTGGAGTAGCAGAAGCCTTTTGCTGTGTGCTCTGTTCAGTGTAATGAGAATAGGTATTTGCAAAAGAAGACGAACGATTTTGATGGAAACGTTGCTTACCTACTTTTCTAGGGGGATGCTGTCAGCACTGTGATTGTGCATTTCTAATGGAATAAAGTGTATTTATGACCACGGCGGCTGTCACGTTGTTTCCTCTTAGGAGATGGGCCCTGGGCCTGTGGCAGCCCTGATGTAGCTGTGTGGACCCTTCCAGAGGAAGGGGCGTGGCTGTCCTGGCAGTCCTGTGATGGGGCCTGGGGTGCAGGGGGCTGCACGATGGAGTGTCTCCAGGCACGGTGTCCCTCGAGGCAGTGTGAGCCTTCAGAATTGGGGTGCTCCCCCAAGTAAGCTGCTCTGTTGAATGGCAGGGCCTCTCCCAGCCCCAGAAAGTCCCAGCTCTGGGGGGGTCTTTAGAGAAAGTTATGTCCGAAGGAGCATGCCATATTGATGGTCTAATTAACGTGTGTCTGGAGTCCCAGAAGGAGAGAATGGAAGGAAGATGACATGTAAAGGATTGGGGAAGCAGAACAGATCTCACGTAGAAATACAGAGGAAGCCGTGCCTGGACACACGCAGACCGTCGAAGACAAGCATAATCCAGAAGCAGCCAGAGAGGAAGGATGGACCACCCTCATGGGGGGAGGGCACATCAGAAGCAGAGGCGTTATGGGAAAAATGCTCTGCACGGAGTCGGGTCTTTAGTAGAACAGCTGTTCAAGAACGCCGGTGACAGTTGGCATCTGGCCCAGAGCTCTGCTCTGAGGTGTACACCCAGGAGAATTGAAACCGTATGTCCACGCGTAAATGTGCACACGAACATTCATAGCGGCACTTTTCACGATAGCCGGAGACTGGGAACAGCCTACAAAATGGGGTCCACCAACACAGCAGCCTTGTAACTCAGCCGTAAAAGGAAGGAAGCACTGACACAGGTTTCGAGGTGGATGAACCTTGAACACGTGCTGAGTGAGAAAAGCCAGACCCAGCCCGCATACTATGTGGTTCTATTTATATGAAACGTCCGGAACGGGCAAATCCATGGAGACAGAGAGCAGATGAGCAGTGGCCTGGGCTGGGGGAGGGGAGGTAGGGAGTGACTGATACTGCAAATGCGGATTCTTCTGGAGAGGACGAAGATGTTCTGGAATTAGTGGTGCTGTTGGCCCAACTCTGTAGATTCACTAGAAGTCACACTAGAAGGGGTGAAGTTTTGGGGGTATAAGTTATATCTCAAGGTTATTAAAAATAAAGAATTGGGCAACATTTAAAAAAACAGGAACAAAAATGAGGGTGACACCTGCAGACGATTCCCTCCTATAAAGGAAGTTGTAAGACATTTTCTTCAAGAGCAGAAATATGGACCCAGGAGGAGATTCTGAGAGCAGAAGGTTTGGGGGCGGGGGAGCAAATACAACAACGAGGAGGTGTATCTAGTACTCCGTGTAAACTGCCTCACAATACAATGTTGGAAAACATGCTCTGAAGGTTGGGGCAGGCAGGAAAGGAGCTAAATCGTTGTAAAGCCCCCTTTCCTTGCCCTGGAGAGAAAGGATCAAGATGCTGTACAATTGTAAGGCATCAAAGTCAATATTTATGGGCTTCCCTGGTGGCGCCGTGGTTGAGAGTCCACTTGCCGATGCAGGGGACGCGGGTTCATGCTCCAGTCCGGGAAGATCCCACATGCCGCGGAGCGGCTGGGCCCTTGAGCCATGGCCGCTGAGCCTGCGCGTCCAGAGCCTGTGCTCCGCAATGGGAGAAGCCACAACAGTGGCAGGGCCCCGCAACACCAAAAAAAAAAAAAAAAAAGTCAATATTTATAACAGACGTTTAAGAAACACAGCACAGGGCTTCCCTGGTGGCACAGTGGTTGAGAGTCCGCCTGCCGATGCAGGGGACACGGTTTTGTGCCCCGGTCCGGCAAGATCCCACATGCCGCGGAGCGGCTGGGCCCTTGAGCCATGGCCGCTGAGCCTGCGCGTCCAGAGCCTGTGCTCCGCAATGGGAGAAGCCACAACAGTGGCAGGCCCGCATACCACAAAAAAAAAAAAAAAAAAAGAAAGAAAGAAACACAGCACAGAAAAAAAAGTCAGTAAGGTGTGGGATGTCCAAACGGCGCGATTAGTGCACTTGACCTAATCGACGTGTAGAACACGGCATGTGGCGGTCACGGGGCATGCTTTCTGTTCTTCCCACCTACTCTTTTGAACTTTATTCAAGTCACCCACACACCAGACCAGGAAGAAGGTCAAATAAGAGATCAGAGTGGAAAAGTATTTCTAATTGACAACTAAATACGACAGGTCGACATATCAAAACTCATGGAATACATCGAAAGGTGTGCTTAGAGAAAAATTTATATTTCCTTCAGGTGTATTCCCAGAAGTGGAATTGCTGGATCATATGGTAGCTCTATTTTTAATTTTTTTGAGGACCCGCGATACTGTTTCCCATCACGGCTGTGCCAATTTACATTCCCACCAACAGTGCACAAAGATTCCCTTTTCTCCACATTCTCGTCAGCACTTATTATTTTCTGTCTTTTTCATAATAGCTGTTCTGATAGGTGTGAAGGGATAGCTCATTGTGGTTCTGATTTTCATTTCCCTAATAATTAGCGATGTTGAGCCTCTTTTTATGTGCCTGTTGGCCATATGTGTGTCTTCTTTGGAAAAGTATCTATTACAGTCCTTTGCCCATTTTCCCATTGATTTATTTGTTTTTTTGCTGTTATGTGAATTCCTCATATATTTTGTATATTGGCCCCTTATCAGATGGATGGTCTGCAGATATTTTCTCCCTTCTGTAGGTTGCATTTTTACTTGGTTGATTATTTCTTTTGCTGTGCAGAAGTGTTTTAGTTAGATGTAGCCTCACTTGTTTATTTTTGCTTTTGTTGCTTGTGCTTTAGGTGTCATATCCAAAAAACTGTTGCCAAGATCAATGTTAAGGAGCTTTTTCTCTGTTTTCTTTTAGGAGTTTTATGGTTTCAGGTCTCACATTTAAGTCTTAAATCCCTTTTGAGTTAATTTTTGTGAGTTGTGTAAGATAGGGGTGAACATTCTTTTGCATGTTATTATCCAGTTTTCCCAACACCATGTATTGAGGACACTGTTCTTTCCCCACTGAATATTCTTGGTTCCCTTGTTAAATACAAGTTGACCGTATATGTGTGGGTTGATTTCTTGGATCTTGATTTTCTTTCATTGGTCTGTGTCTGTTTTTATGGCGGTACCATACTGTTTAGATTAGTATAGCTTTGTGATATAGTTTGAAATCAGGAAGCGTGATACCTCCAGCTTTGTTCTTCTTCCTCAGGTATGCTTTGGCTATTCGGGTCTTTCATGGTTCTGTAAGAATTTCAAGATTGTTTTTTCTATTTCTGTGAAAAATGCCATTGGAATTTTGATAAGGATTGCATTGAATCTGTAGATGGCTTTGTGTAGTATAGACATTTTAACCATATTACTTTTTCCAATCCATGTACACAGGATATGTTTCCAATTGTTTGTGTCTTGAGTTTCCTTCATCAATGTCTTATAATTTTTCAATGTACAGATCTTTCACTTACTTAGTTAAATTTATTCCTAAATAAGTTATTGTTTTTGATGCTATCGTAATTGAGATTGTTTTATTTGTTTCTCTTTCATATAGTTCATTGTTAGTGTACAGAAACAGAAACAGCTGATTTTTGTATGTTAATTTTGTATCCTGTAACTGTACTGAATTTATTAACTTTAACAGTTTTTTGGTGGCGCCTTTAGGATTTTCTATATATAAGATCATATTATCTGCAGGCAGAGACTAACTTATTCCTTTCTGACTTGGATGTCTTTTTTTTTTTTTCCCCCTAGCCTAATTGTTCTGACTGGAACCTCCAATACTAGATCGAGGAGAAATGGTGAGAGTGGGCACCCTTGTCTTGTCCTGTTCCTGATCTTAGAGGAGACACTTTCAACTTTACACCATTGAGTATGATGTTAGCTGTGGGTTTGTCATATGTGGCTTTTATTATGTTGAAGTATGTTCCTTTTATAACTATTTGTTGAGAGTTTTTATTGAGAAAGGATATTCTAGTTTTCAAATGCTTTTTCTGCATCTATTGAGATGGTATGATTTTTATCTGTATTCTCTTAATATGGTGTATTGCATTTATAGGTTTGTGTATGTTGAACCATCCTTGCATCCCAGGGATCACTGTCATGGTGTATGGCCCTTTTCATGTGCTGGTGAATTTGGTTTGCTAGAATTTTGTTGAGAATTTTGCATCCATATTCATCAGGGATATTGGTCTGTAGTTTTCTCTCCTTGTGGTATCTTTGGCTTTGGTATGAGGGTAATGCTGGCCTTGCAGACGAGTTTGGGGATATCCCTTCTTCAGTTTTTTGGAAGCGTTTGAGAAAGATTGACATTAATTTTTCTTTACAGGTTTGGTAGAATTCACCAGTGAAGCCATCTGGTCCTGGGCTTCTCTGTGTTGGGAGGTTTTGATTACTGACTCAATCTCTTTACTTGTATTGGTCTGTTCAGGTTTTCTATTTCTTCATGATTCAGCCTTGGTAGGTTGTATGTTTCTAGGAATTTATCCATTTCTTCTACGTTATGCAGTTTGTTGGTGTGTAATTGTTCATAGTAGTCTTTTACAATCCCTTGTATTTCTGTGGTGTCGGTTGGATGTCTCCTCTTATATTTCTGATTTTATTTATTTGAATCTTCTTTTTTTTTCTTAGTTGGTCTAGCTAAATGTTTGTCAATTTTATCTTTTTTAAAATATCAGCACCGGGCTTCCCTGGTGGCGCAGTGGTTAAGAATCCGCCTGCTAATGCATGGGACACGGGTTTGAGCCCTGGTCTGGGAAGATTCCCACATGCCGCGGAGCAGCTAAGCCCGTGCGCCACAACTACTGAGCCTGCGCTCTACAGCCCGCGAGCCACAACTACCGAGGCCTGCACGCCTAGAGCCCGTGCTCCGCAACAAGAGAAGACAGTCCAATGAGAAGCCTGTGCAGCGCAACGAAGAGTAGCCCCCGCTCTCTGCAACTAGAGAAAGCCTGTGTGCAGCAACAAAGACCCAGTGCAGCCACAAACAAACAAATAAATAAATTTATTTAAAAATATATATATCAGCACTATGAG